GCCGCACCGACCCGGGCGCAAGAAATGGCTAGCATGTGAACTGGAATAATATTGAGCCGTTTTCAAAGCTGCAGTGTGAGGACAAGGTGCAAAGAAAAGTTCCATTGGGTTTTGCGTGACAATGATATCGCCTTCTTAGAATAGGAGTGCATCATCATTTAGTACCTACCTATATTGATGCAATTCCACTTCAAGAGTTAGAAGTATAGAAAGAATATTCTCTCAGCTTTTTTGCTTCGCTCAGCTACATACTCTTCTCCTTTGTCAGCAAACTCAAATAGCTCGAGAAGACAATGGAGTTGAGCATGATCAGTGCGGTTTCTGTTGTCCTCGTTGGCTCGGCTGCTAGTGGCGATTGCGTGTGGCGAAACCGTGCATCAAACGAACGCTACGTGGCTTCTCCAATGCTGGGAACGCATCAAGAAATAAAATAGTGCCTCACCCAGTACACATCTAGACATGCGTGGTGTTTCTTTTCTGAATATGCTGAGAACGGAACAAGTTCGTCCAAGCTTCGTGGTTTGGGGAGCACAGAAAGCAAGCCACTCAGTACTAGTATTCTTATCTGACAAAGCAGAGAGCAATCTGTAATGAATGGTCAACATACCGGCTATTGCCAAGTCCGCCCGTGGAAGGTGAGTGTAATACTGAGGTATCTTCAACGTCTCTAGAAGAATGTTTTACGGAAATTAGAGTTCGCATCAGTGATTGATTGGAGGCACCAATGTGACAATAGCAGGCTAAGTATAATAGAGTATAATGGCATATAGCTCTGCTTGAAGGGATCAATTCGACAGCAGCCATTAATGCTGTGACGTTTCACCATAGATTCATCAGTTAATAAGTGAACTCACTTATTGCTAGGCATCTAAGATGACGAATATCAAATCCCACTGCGACCTAGGCCCAAATATACGTGTTGCATGCGGTGGCGCTTATCATGTGAATTCAAACGCGCGCATAGTGGCTTGAATTGCAACGGGAAGGGTGAGAATGAGTCAGAGGGTCATCAAAATCCCATCAGATTTTGAACAAAATACCATAGGTAATAATATCAATATGACAAGTCGAAATGTCGCGGAAAGGGGGCGAAGAGGGCCTGAGATGGTGAGCGAACACTCTGCATTGACTGCCAACAACGACTCCCAATTAGGTTCATGCACAATTGTGTGAAGCCCCGCTGGAAGCTGAAGCATCCAGGGACAAGGAATTCCCCGACAAGAATGCCTGAAAGCCCTGTAGCGTGCCACATCAGAGCCCATCTCCACACACACACACACCATTGCACACATCCTGGGAAGAAGCTGAGCCCCCTGTAATAAGCCAGCTTTACAGCTTGGCTAGGCAATTATGCAGCCAGGTGCCAAAGCGCAGCCACAATGTGCTGGATCGCTGCTGCTGGTGGTTTGTGTTCGTTGCCTTGCTGTCACCAAGCAGGACGCGCAAGACACCTCCCATGGATGTGGCTATGTGATCCGATGGTAGGATAGATAGTCCGTATGTAAGGTAGGCATGTATCGAGCCATCGGTCACGCTACACTTTACCGTCGTACCGTCGCGAAAGCGTCAAATCTGATATCTGGCCCTGGTCGTCTATCCGCCTGCCTCCCTGCGAGCCGTCCCTCCATCCGTATCTTGCACTACTCTTATAATTACAAGCGACCAAACAATGGATTATCTCTTCCGACGGCGTCGTAGAAGCTTGTCACCACCACGTCACAGCAGGCCGTCAAGAAGAGCGTCATTCTCGCATTCATCACAGCCATCACGGAGACCATCTCCAAGGCGATCCCCGCATCCACCATCATCTTTCCCGCTACGGCCATCATCCTCACAGCAGCACAGTCGCTTCGCCAAAATGACCTCCAGCAATCAAAGAGACCATGGCCTCATAGCCGACGGCGAGGAGACTCGCCAGCTTGTCCCCGAGCTGCTGGCCAAGCTGGGACGCGCCAGAGACGCCTCCTCCTCCGTCAGGCACTCGACTCAGTCCCTGCCCTACCTAGATCCCAACAGATGCCCTCTCTTCCCAGAGCCCGCTACTATCCGCGTCGTCAATGAAGACACGCTCAACGCCGCCCTGCGCATGTCCGAGGAAGCATGGGAAGACGACAGCGCCAGGGCCAACGCCTGCACCGAGGACGACCAGCGCCCGATCCAGCGCGTGCACCCGCTGATTGTCAACTTTGGCAACGGCGAGAAGCCCTGCGGCGGTTGGCTCAACGGCAAGCTGGCCCAGGAGGAGGCCATCTGCTACCGCAGCTCGCTCTACAGGAGCCTCACCTCGCGCGACTACCCCCTCAGCTGGGACAACGTCATCTACAGCCCCTACGTGCTCGTCCTCCGCCAGAGCCTCGCCGAGGGCCACGGGCTGTACAAGTTCCCGCCCGAGCTGCTCCCCCACGTCAGCTGCCTGACGGTGGCGGCCGTGCGCAGCCCGCGGACGCACACGTTCGTCCTCGACGGCGAGCGCAGCCAGGGCCGGCCGCGCGAGAAGCACATCTTCGCCAACGACAAGGACCGCAGCATCACCAAGGCCAAGATGAGGCTCACGCTGCGGGCGGCGGCGCGGCACGGGCAGCAGTCGCTGGTGCTGGGGGCGCTGGGGTGCGGTGTGTACGGGAACCCGGCCGAGGAGGTGGCCCACTGCTGGCTCGAGGTGCTACGGGAGAACGAGTTTGCAGGCAACTGGTGGAGGAGGGTGTGGTTCGCCGTCTACGACCCCAAGGAGGAGGGGAACTTTGATACATTTCACCGGGTGCTACATGGCCAGCAGGTGTAGGTTTGCAGGGGGCAGATGGGATCGTCGGCCGTTGAGATGGGTTTCATGGGATGGCCTGGCAGGGACAGAGGTAGGTTGTGTTTCCTGCGCGGGATCGTAGGATCCGCTGTTTGCCAGGTACAACTTGTTCAATTACGATAAGAATGTCAACTTGAAGCGCAAATGAAAATGCAATTAATCTCACGCACCGCTGGCCCAACCTTGCTCTCCCTCTTTGCCCAATGCGACACATCAAACAGCATTACGAGCAGGCCCGTCCGTCAAAAGTGCATAGGTAGTAAATAGAGTGGAATCCTCGGATGACAAGTCGTCTTTGCAACCAATGGCGCCTCGTTGTCTCGCACATTTGTGCGTATGTGTAGATGTGTAGACAGGCTCCGCCTCACCATTTACTCCAGATCCCTCCCCGCCTCTTATCCAGGTCCCAGAATGCCTCGTCCTCCCGTAGCGAGGACCCCTAGCCGCTTTGGCCCCTCGAAGCTGAGCAAGTATTGGCGAGGCACGACATGGGTGTCGGGCCGGAGCAAATGTGCAAAGGAATAGCTGACAGCTAGCGCTGCAGGAGGCCAGCCTTTCAATAATCTAAAGGGATAGCTTAGGCTCTAATGCACCCTGAGTCTCACAAGCAGAAAGCCACACCTGCAAACTCCTCAGCTCCTGTAGGCGGCAGATAATGGCATGCGAGAACAAGCCGCCTCGCACACTGCCAGGGCCCCATGCCGTGTGAGCCATGCTGCCTAGCCGTTGCCTCTATACGGCTGCTTGGCCACAGCTGAGCGCCTATGGTGTTGTATTTGATACCCACGGTCTCGTCCTTTAGGTTACACCATCTACTTGTGATGAGCCCTTTGCTCGCACATTGAGTGCTTGTTCTGTACGTATCTACCTCTTTGCTATCCTTTGAAGCATATTCCTATCATCAAACACCCAACTGGCCGTGCCCCAAATCCTGAGCACAATGCCGATGGTACGTCCATTTTGTTTCGCGCTCGACGAACCCCGGAAGGACTGACGCTTCAAACTAGACATTCGGACGACTAGACCCAACACACCACGAACACAAGCTCTGTATGCCCAAACCTACAATCACCGGATCGTACAAAGCTAATACGGGTTGGATAGATACCCAAAAATTCAATGAAGGCTGGGCACATTCTGGAAAGACGGGCCAAGTGCAGTCCATCTACATGGCCAAGGGCACCGAACTGAGAACCTCTTACCGTGGCCAGCGATTCGGGAAATACCTGTAAATGCCCCCCAGCACGTCGTTCGTCCCATCACCCTGCTCACGTCAAAGTCGACAGGAAAGCCAACGGCAACGAATTCAAAACCCTCTTTCACGGGACAAGACGGTCCTGCAAAAACGGCGATGGCGGAAACACGTTGCAGCCTTGCCAAGATGCCGATTGCTACATGTGCAGCGTGCTGAATCACTCGTTCCAGCTCAAACATGCCAGTGAGTATCTCCCCTACCAAATGCCGTTCTGCTCGACCTCAGCTAACACAGTCCAGGGGCCGACGGCACATTGATGTTCGGCCCGGGCATTTACTCCTCTCCGATCACTTCCAGTACGTCCCCTCCAATCTCCCGGCGAATTCAAATACTGACCTGATGCTGCAGAAGCCGATCGCTACGCCATGAACCACCATGTCCGATCCCAATTGCACGCCATGTTCATCTGCCGCGTCGTCGTCACAAAGCCCCAGCGCCTGACGCAGGCGGATAATACCCGAACCTGCCCTGACCCTGGGTTCAATTGCGTACGTGCACGGAACGGGAAGTGACATGCTGAGAAACAGTGGCTAATCCGCCCTCGCAGATCCAAGGCCTCACCGTACAGGAGGGAGGATGCCTGCAATTCCCCGAGTTTGTAGTCTACGACGAGTCGGCCATCGTCCCGGTCGGCGTGATAATGTACACCAGGCAGGGCTGGACGGGGTAGGGGATTGATTGATGATAACGGTGTAAATGGAGTTTCTTTACCATTGTTTTTTTTACAGATTGGACATGTGAGCGATGGTGATGGCCCCAGGGCTTTTTTTTTCAATCAGCTGCCATGCTGAATTCTCTCCCTGATCACATTTTGCCAGGAAGATGGAGGATATAACTGGCAAGCTCAAACACACGCTCATTCAAGCCGGGCTGGGTATCTCAATGTAAATTTAAAGCCCGAAAAGAAGAAAATGAATTGTAGAAAAATATATGAATATCGAATAATTATCCCGGTCCTCCAAGGATAGAAAAAATTAATGCGCCATCGTCTCCCATGTGTAACGTCGCGTGATAAATAGAAAGTTTTGTTCGCCAGGGCCAGCCCGATGAGTATCGCATCAACACATGCCCAGACTGTCCCATCTCAAGACATCCCCGGGACTTCGGAACGCGGTCTGCAGCTGCCTTGGTAGCAGACTTTGTGGCCGAGGCATAATCTGCGGCAGGTAGGGACGAGAGGTCGTTCTCCTCGAGCCTCGACTTCAGGCGGCGGAGGCGCACTGTCAACTGGGTTGGGCGTCGGGAGGGCTGTGGCAACCTGGGAGAGGCCCAGGACGATGCCGACGAGCACGGCCTTGCTGATGAACATGGTGGTTGGTTTGGGCTGTCGCAATATACGGTCGGATTTCTTGTGTTTCGAATTTTTGTTGAATATAGTAGACTCTTATTGGATTCCTTTGTTCGCTTTTCTTTGTTCGAGATTAATTTAGTGCCCAGCATGCCACCGCCGTGAACTGGACATGCTCAGGATATATCCCATTTCCAGCTTCTAATAATAACATCACTCGCTCTTACTCAGCTCGGCGGACAGGGGCGAACTGCGAAGGGACGCGGAGTGGAGAGGCGGAAATCAGGTCCAAGGTCCCAAAGCAGACGGGATGAGCATCTGGAGCCAGCTCACTACCCTGATTCGTCCAAAATTCAGTCCACTGTATGGCCCGAATCAAAGGGAATGACCAAACAAGAAAAATAAGGAACGGGATGGTAAAAGCAATGCGCTGAAAGAGCAAAAATGCGTAATCTGGGAATCGAACCCAGGGCTCCCCGACGCTGCTCGGATGGCAACGGAGAATTTTACCACTAAACCAATTACGCCGTGCATACCAAATGACGTTGGTAAATCTTATTAAGTAGTCTTTTCCAAATCTTAACAAAATCATCTGGTCTTCGGTGAGAAAAACAGAGGAAAGTTTGGAAATTTTGCGTACCAACTCTCATCCATATTTATTACAAATAAGATGATTTCCATTTTATGAAGGTACCAAGGCAATAACCGTGTTGGGAGTGTATATAAACGATAACTTGTGCCATTGCTAACAAACCTTTTGGATAATTCTCGAGACTACGCACTGGATTCTTTTCATAAAGGAATTAAATTGTAGTTTAATGACATACAAACGGATTCTATTAATGTTTCTATTTTTCGAGCACTATTACATACGGTAGCTTTGATGTGTTGACAGTTCGTTACCGCTATCTCCCAGGAACTATAGGGTAGGCGTCCAACAACTTGAGTAGCAAATATGGCGGAGTTTCTCGCACAACAGTTGATATTAGATTTGGTTGATAGTCAGGTAAGTAATTTCTCAAACATAATGTAAGTCAATACATGATTGAAGAGTTAGGGCACAGACGCTGAGAATTCCGACTTTGGGGTTAGCAGCCATCCCATCCATCCCGCATCAACATCGGCTTTCTTGCAATAACTCCAGATCTGGCTGGGTTGGGCGGTGCTGTATCTTTTCTTGGTCCTGATGAGGGAATCACTACAACGAGCTGGAGTGGCTTGGCTCAACGACACGGTTAGAAAATAAAATTTTACAGCAAAACGATAATTATGTTGAAACCAAACCTTGGCCGGCTTTTTTCAAGAAAGCAACTATTAGACATATCCATCTTCTATTGTAAAACAGTTGATTATATCCATTCTAGAGCTAGTGAATTTCCCTCAAATGACATCTTGCCCTGTAAAAAAAAGGGGAATGCAGGCCAAACGCTCTCTAACCCAATTTCCTAAACCATCACAAAAGTCTTCGCGTGCCAGCCGAGTCTCCTTTTCATTCGCGTTCCTATTCTTCGTGCGTAATAGGCCGAAATTTTCGGGTTCGGATGATGTGGTTCGTGGAAGTTTAGACTATTTCCTGTTGCCTGGTTCCTAAACACCCACAATGACCCATTTAGGCTTTCTGCCGAGAAAAGGCCCTTATATGTCATTGCATATAAGAAGTCCTTCCAAGGTAAATCCTTTCCTTCTGAGTGCGCATCAGGATCAAAGAACAGTTTCTGAAACGCACGGAAGGCTCTTGCGTTTACCTTTATCTGTTCTTCGATGGGCTCTTCCTCTTCGGCGTTAGGAGGAGCAGGAAGTGATGGAGCTTTAGCGGAGGGCTTGCCTCGCGTCTTCGTTTTGGGCTTTCTGGGCTCCTCGGCGACTGGGCTTTGTTCGCTCGCAATGCGAAGCCTTTCCAGCATACTAAAGGGAACCTCGTCTCCGGTGCGCGGCGAAGAAGGCGCATGTTTAATCGGCTGAGGCGATGGCTCTATCCACTCAGGGGTGCGTTCCTTCGGATGGTGGGCTTGGTGGAAGCATTTCATCCTGGAATCCGGTGGCAAATTCTGATCTAGAATTGCTTGCTGGTCCATAAAGTCCCAGAGTATATCTAGATTAGACTCTGCTTGCCGCATCTTATCTGTGTTCAACTTCGTTTTGCGCTTCGTGGATGGATGATCGTATTTCTGGTCTGTTGGATCACACAGCAAGGGGATATCTCTTAGTAGTGATTTTACTAGAGAAGAGGTCGCTTCGGCTATGGGGTTGAAATAAACTGTCCATGCGTAGGACGTCTGCTCATCGGTGCTTTCCATTGCTTCGTCAAAGATGCGAGACCAGGGATAAAACGTCTGGAGTTGGTTGGTGCATTGTGTGATGATGGAGAGGTCACCGATATGGCCTGCCAATGCTCCGCTCAGAAGTTCATGACTATCGGGCTTATCCTTCATGAAGCGCGATAGAGAATCCAAGTAAGCCGACATGTTATCGAGTTCGACGACTTCGCGGCCCCGAAGCAATGACTGTACCTGCTTGATGCACTGGAAGTCAACTGTCGACTCTTGGACTGAGCTTCTGATCTGAGCATCCTGATGATTACCATCTGGGCGAATGAAGCAACGGCGTAGACGAGGTGAAGATGCTAATTCCTCATCAATCGCCAGCAGGATCACCTTGAGCGCCTTGTGAAGTGTATTTCGGAACCAGACTAAAAAGTACAAGAGTGGCCCGGGGAGATTTTTTTGCGGAGTTATCGTTGGGCGATGAATGAGGTAGTGTTCCTTTATCACCGTCACTTGATAACGAAGCATGTCAAACATTTGCAGCTGCTCGTACGCTTTCTGTCTCATCCGTGCCAATGAGTGAGCCCACATGAGAGCTGGACCAGGTCGCAATACTTTTCCGCTCTTAGCGTTAAGTACGTAACCCTGTCGTCCTTGGCTGTCTTTCACTAAACCGGGATTGTGATCCAATTCCTCTCGCCATTGGGCCTCGAAGTACGAGGGATCTTCCCGAAGTGCCAACATGTGGTCCTCTGCGGCTGCAAGCCTGGCACTGAGGAGTGATTCGATGCGATGGATATCGAGACCATGAGGAGGTGGCAGGTAGGCAGCCTCCTCGACCATAGTTGAGAGAGATACGTATCGATTTTTATCTGCCTGAATCTTCTTCACCTGGGGTTCGGGTTGAACCGGATACTTATCAGAGATTATCTCGTCATCAGGGATATCATGGAGGATGAGCATGCAGGAGCGGAGGAGAAATTCCAGCAGCCTCTTCTGACATCGGAGAATTCCTATTCCTTCTGGAATTTGGAACAGTATGCCGGGAAAAAGCCCATCGTACGGAGGTGGGACATCATCCCGCAACATGACTTTTCCATAGTCCTTTTCACTATTGAGGAAAACCACAGTTTCGGTTCTGATTGCTTCCTTTTGCTTTCTAAACTGAGCATTCAGCATTTTGAACCCATCTTGTGCAGCAAATATATAAGGGTGATTGCGTGCTCTTGACTTTATCAGCAACAAAAGATTCCGCGGCCTGCAGAGGTCTTCTTGGTTAACACCTGGTGCCCACATACTTGACCATATCTCGTCGGCCATGGCTGAACTGAAATCTTCGTATGTTAAAGGCTTCCCGGCAGTTCTTCTTGCTGCCATAAGTTTTGAAATGATCTGTTTCTCCACACGTAAGCATCCCGGCCTTTGCTTGTTCATTTGTGGCCAGGCTTGAAGCAAGAGTTTTCGGCGATCTTCCTTCGTCTTCTTGGTCCAGCGGTTTTGAATCTTGGCTTCATGAAGCATCACAATGGCCTGCAGGCTCTGGTAGCTACAGAGAACTCTGGCGGTGACTTCTTCAGCCGATGCAGCGGACTCGGCAAACGTTGGGGCGGATAGAAACTTGGAGGAAATGGAGGGATCGAATACCCAGGCGTTGACCTTTTCCCTCATTCGATCGCGTTCTTTTTCATGCTCGGACATTGTGTCTTATGTATGGAGATAAAAGGAGAAGATCGGATTTGTATTTTATAGAAAGTTGAGTTGAGTCGAAAAGATGAATCAAGTTGGAAGACAGGAATGTAAGAAAGTTTCTGTTTCTAAAAAGGATGATAGGGTGCGATCCTTTTATAGCGAGATGGGAGATGTAAACTCCGGTGTCTGTTGTGGAAACCTGTGAACGAGCAAAAAAGAGATGGTTTTTTTTTCAGAAAGCTATAAAGGAGCAACAAAGAGATCGTAATTTGAAACCGATGCGCGCAACAAAGAATCATCATTTATCGATGACGTGTCGGGCGCCGTGCTCTCACCCGTCATAGGAACAAACAAAGATTGTGCTATGTTTTTAAGATAAGCCCGCTCCCCCATCCCGAGTTGACACAAGAAGTCCGACTGCATGCAAGAGCCGGAGAGTTGGCGTTGGGCTTTTGTTCAATAGGCGTAACTACCGCAACAGCACCAGTTCAATCCGTTTAATTCTAAGTTTACCTCTAGTAATTAACGGCCTCTGCATTTGCATTGCGGTGTGGCAAAACCCTAACATCTTGGAGGATTAGAGGGAGAAAAACCAAAACCGAGGTCTCAATATTGCAAAGTCCCCATAGTTTCTTCAAACATGCTACTCTTCGCTATATGTCTATTGAACTGTGCATCCCTAAACTGTAGCTAGGCATCGCACATGTCTAACTCCTGTATAGTCCACCGACTTTTGACTGCTGCGAACATCCTTCCAGGCATTACCAACACAATTATCCGTACTAGTTCTCGTATTCGTACATTAATTTCGATGCATATAGTTTCTCGTGGGTGCCATAAACACTTACATATACAATAGACAATGATACCCTGGGGCAATGGAGATGGACCTGACGCTAAAAGTGCTATGCCGTGCTTTTCATAAGGTCGTTTGTTCACAAAGTCTCGGATGGACAACGGCAGTACTCACAGCGGATAAATAACCACCCAGCATTGTCCATCGCCGGTGATTTCTGAAGTGTATCCCTTGAAGTTTTTCTTCGCATGGATCTTGCTCTTGCAGATAATTGAGAAGTAAGCTGCTGTTTACGACATGCAAAGCATTGTTGATATTACCTTGGGCACATTAAGTCCTAAGGTCATAGGTAGCGCAAGAAACGCGAGTGGGAAAATATTTGTGAAGAGCATGTTTGCAAAGTGGAATGAATTATGGCTGCGAAGTTATAGAAGACAAAGAGGTGAGGATGAGCCAAGCCTATTCAGAGAAAATGGCGGGACTATTTATAGAAAAACACGGTGGGCGAACAGGTGTGTTGAATTTTAAACCCTCCTGAGAAGGTCTTTTCGTCTGATGTTATGAAGGCCAGGTAGTAATAGGCTGACACGCCAATGAAATTGCGAGGTGTTGCTTGTCTTGTGCCCTGCCCCTGATTTTGCTGGGCGAAGATTGAGTTGAATGACCTTACAGTCACCTGGCCCAATCCGCATACCGTGCTGCCGAGGTGGCTTGCCTCATGTGACGTTGATCCTGTTCCACCATCGTTAGTCTGGAATGAGATCGAGACACCTCGATAGCTATTGCAAGATGTTGTCCATAGAATGTCTCATGTTCGTCATAAGCTCGGAGTCACTCAAAACCCGCCATTACATCTGCTCTTGGAGATATGTTTCGCAATGAATTCAAAGGAATCATGCAATTAGAGTTTACAGATTCTCGTTTAATATTTACCTGTAGTCGATGGTTGGTCATACCATGAGAAGAAAAACTGGTGCTACCCACCAGCCCAGAAACTCTGCATGAAGTTTTCACTGACACTTACCATGCTCGTTTCCATCGGATTTGAGAAATGCGATTGGCTTAACAAAGACTTGCATCCTGGGAAATGTTTTTAGATACCTGATAATAAACTCGTATCATCTCCATTGTATTTCATCAGCGGTTCATTGTTCCAATATAGTCGCTGCTTTGACCGACTGTAACTTAACCGTGCTTTGCTAACAGCAATAGCTAAGATCACCACCTTTAGCCTGCCTTACCAGCCTTCCTTTCCACTATTTAGACATTCTGATGTATAATCAAAACGAGTGAACATGTTTGAAAGAAGGATCCCGCTTCTTCGCACAAGACGCCTTGACTCAGATATAATGTGACAATATCTTCTTGATGGAGATACTCTGACATCCACTAATTATGAAATGATTTGTATTTGTCTGTACGATCAAGACGCACTAACTAATGTCCGACCATTGCTTGGTGAGCAGGGCCGTACCGGTTCCCGGCGGGCTTAGCATCGTTCACAATCTGCCTGATTTCCTTCTTCTCCTCATCTGTAAGATCCACGTTCCTTGAAGAAAAGTTCTCCTCCAGTCGCTGCACTTTGGTGGTTCCAGGGATGGCGATCATCCCCTGTGCGGCGACCCAGGCTAGAGCGATTTGAGGCAAGGTGCAGCCTTTCCTGACCGCCAGCTGCTTCATCGCCTCAACAATGGCTTTGTTCTTGAAGAAGTTTTCTCCTTGGAATTTAGGGGCTGCGAGATGAAAAATGAGCTTTCATGTTCTGACAATTTGGTAGAGAAGAGACTCACATCCTCGGCGAAAGTCGTCCGCGGCGAAGTCGTCGGGTGTCTTGAAAGGAAAATCATCAACCAGCCAGCCATGACCCAATGGGCTATAGGCCACGTATGCCACTCCCAACTCATTCGCCGTGTCGATGAGTCCATCTGTTTCGTGGATAGTCTCAAATGCCGAATATTCTGCCTGGATGGCATCTATCTTTGCAACTATTGATATCAGTGAGTGACATGCACTCGTAGTATGAGCGAAAATACTTGGGAGAAATCATACTGGAATTGGCTTTACGGAGAGTTGCAGCTGAGCATTCCGAAAGCCCAATGTACTTGGTCTTTCCTTGCTTTCGGAGTGCGTCGAGAGCAGGGATAGACTCTTCAAGCGGAGTGTCTGGAAGGCACATGTGATTAGCACGGGAAAAACCACAGCCTGTATTTCTTCTTACTTGGATCAATTCTGTGAAGGTAATATAGGTCCGGCGCAAATCCTAATCTCTCGATAGTACCCTCAATGTACTCTGCGATGTGTGAGGCTGAGTTGGTAACTTTGAAATCCGCATCAATGCCACATTTTGAAGCGACTAGACCAGGCACTTGAATCAGCAACATGAGATAACATAGAATCTATATGTTGGACTTACTGAAGATTTTGTCACGGAGGTTGTGCTTGCGAATAAAATCTCCAAGGAGCTTCTCATTGACGCCTTGGCGATAAATTACCTGATCCTCATCAAGGTTAAATTCAAAGGTCTTTCGCTTTAATTCACAGGGAAGAATTTAACGCACTGCGGTATCCCAGAAGGTGCATCCAAGCTCAATGGCCTTCAGGAGAACAGGCTCGGCTTCTTCGAGGCTCAAGTTGCTCCCTAGGCCATGGCTGAGGCCCATGGCTCCGTAGCCTGGCACCGGGACCTGGATACTTCCGAAAGGAATTGTTTGCACCATTGTAGAGAATCGAGTAGGATGTCGTTTGATGGATGTAGGTAAAGCTTACTGGGTCATCTCATGGAAAACATCAGTCATGGAGATTAGAAGGCAGGCCATATATAGTACCCCAAAGGCCTTCGGGCACGACGGAGATAGGATTTAGCCCAAACTCTACTAAATTAACTGCTGCATCATCCATCTCAAGACACCAACCCACATATGCATCTGGCTTATGATTTAGTGGGCCCATCTTGACCATTTGTTGGTATTAGCCAGAAGTTCCCCATCACAGGGAGGGACAGCAAAGTGTGAGACTTTTTAGACCTTTGTAGATTGTATATATTCTAGTAATATCTCGACTGCATCTCAAGTCTCAAAAATCAATGGTCCTTCTCCCCTTTTGGCCCTCCAGGAATTGGTCGATGCAATGATGTCGGGACAGCCTTTAACGAGGAACCCCCATTTTCGCAGAAACGCTGCATTTACTTCCCAAACTTTATCATCCGATGCTTGGCCCCAAACAATCATCGCCGGCCTATTGATCAAATTTGGATCCGAGTCACTGATATCCATCAGATCACAGCATAGGTCATCGTCATCCACAGTGCCAGCATCGACTTCCCTGAGGAGATTGTTTCGCAGTGTGGGGAAGGGTATTAGGTCGATCCATGGATGGTGAATAACTTGTATTTGTAAGTCGGTTGGTGTTAGTGTATCCGGGCACTCGGTCCTGGGTATTGTTTGCCACGTCTGATCAGGGCCAGCGAAGTTGAAGGGCGATATAATATCGTCGTTACATAAAGAACATGGCGATAAGCCGATTTTATATGCGTTATTTGCTAACGCGTTCAGAAGATTGAGCCGGACGAGAAATGGTAGGCTGGCTGGGCGAGGATCTTTAAGAGAATATTCTTCATGGGCTCGTCTTATCAGACTGATAGCAACTTGTCGCTTCCTATCATTGTCAATCATGTACGGCCCGTCTAATAGTGTTTTCATGGCCGAAGAGATCACCGGGAAGAGGTCTTCCTTTTTGGTAAGGGTATTGGATGTGTTGCTGAGAGCCGGCGTGGGACCCAAGCCCTCAGCTGTCCGTTGAAACTTCTGTCTGCGGCCTATGCAACCATAAGCTTAGATGATCACAATATAGCGATTGTTTGGACCAAAGAATGAACTCTTAGTCAGTAATACGTACGCCAAGCCCTCTGATTTAAGCGATTCTGCAGCTTCTTGCGCTCCGCGGTGCTGCTGATACCTGTCCAATCGTCTGTGGAGGCTCGCAGCTCGGGGAAATGGCGAAAACTTCCGACTGTCAGGGCCTGGGGACCTGATTCGGGTTCGATATTTCCAGCCATGGCAGTTGCTGGGACCAGTCACGAGCCGATGATGTAACAATCTCCGAAAGAAGCTTCACTTGACTTTAAAGGATAACTGAATGTAGCTGGCTCACCTCGACTTCCAATTAAGTTGACTTTTTGAGAAGCAAGGTGATACGAGGCTCAAGTTCTCGGTGGTGCAATTCCGATGTGGAGATCTTTCTGGGCTTTCAAGTCTTGGAGCCAGAGTCAGTTGATCTCGGAGTTACTGGAGCCCCTCCGTCACCCAATGATTGGCTAAGAAAGGCCTGCCAATGGCTAAATCGTAAGCCGGTTGCATTAGCGTGAATCGATTTGAATGTCACTACTAAATAAATGGGCCTCCGATACATTTTGAAATGTTGGGCCAAGTGCATGATGTGTGTCACGTGTGTACATTTCGGGCTTATATTGATATTCTTTTCTTCACGATGTCGGCAGCTATTTCCTAACTTTCTCAGTAATCCTCTGGTTATAGATCCGAAATCCCCTGCGGTCTATGAATCTTGACCAATTCTTTACAATGACAAGCTTATCGTACAAGCAAAAAATAATGTTATCTGTGGCGGTGGCCAAGAAGCGGGCTTCTGAACCATTTCTACTGGCCACAAATTCGTTTGGTACAAATAAATGATGAGAATATGAGGAGTTGGGGCTCTGATTGTTCAGATCTCTCAGGCTCAGGCTGGAGAGCCACGAATTTCGATGCAAAAAGTTAATATTTTTAGTCATCGGGCTGATTGATACGAAGCGTCTACAGAAGTCGGCTTCTAATCTGCACGATGGCTTCAATTTTTGGTTCTCCGATTTGCCAAGCTCGAAGACGTAAGTTGTCGAAGAGTTCTGAAAGCTGCCATAGCGCTCATATTCGAGGACTAGTGTCTGGCCATCTGGGTGAATGGCTCCCGAGATGTAACCAAAGTTGTCATTGAGTTCTTCGTCAATTTGTAACTTAATCTCAGAGCCCTGAACGGGTTTGGAAAAGTCGTCACTTGAATATCGAGCCAATTCCCAGTTATGGACTAGGAAGAAGTCAGATCCCTTTCCACGGGCTGGTGTTGGGAACCATTGACAGGGGGTTCTCTCATCTTCTGTGATTTGACGCGTATGTACCAACGATCCATCGTTAGAGAAGAAGCGGTGGGAATCACTGCTAGAAATCACGAGAAAGTCTCCCGAATTACTGTAGCAAAGTTGATTGACAACTTGCTGAATGCGCTCTTCGTAGAGGGTACTTGCGGTGACTTTTGACGATGGGAGCTCGCTTAAGTCAAGCTTGTGCATCAAGACATAAGCATTGTTTGTTGAGGTCAGCGTATTGTTTCTGCTCACGGTGATGTGAGATACAGAGTGTTTCAGTGGATGTGAGTAGAGTTCGCCCAATTTCAACCCCGTCTCAGAACTATATGCGGTGACGACACCCACAAAATTGCCGGCAAATACCAAAGGCAACGAGGGGTGTGCGCACAAGGCAGTGATCGTGGTTGATCTCATTTGATTACAATCCCTTATTGGAGCAGGGATGGCTGTCGTATCGTCGCTAATTCCCTCTTCTTCTTCTGTGCTCTTCCGGATGAGGGCACTTGGCGACCAGATACGCATACTCTGAGACGTGATATCAATGATGCTGGTTCCGTTGGAGGTGAACCTGATACTTCTGGACAATGAAGAGGGCGCTTCAATATGACATAACAATGTCAAAGTCTCGAAGCCCCATATTTGCAAATGACCGAGGGTACTAGTTGTAGCGAGTATCCTCCCATCAGGTGAGCACGCAGCCGCTGATACGCCACTTTGTCGAGGAGGCGTGTATGAATGAACCATGTGCCCCCACCCAGTCTCATATAGAGCCATAGTGTGGTTTGTATACATCACCACAAAGAGGTTGACATTCGGGTTTGGGTTAAAAATGATGTGCGAGGGCTGTCTGTCCATATCATCCAAGGCACAGGTTATGAACTCTTTGCTCTGAAGGTCCCAGAGGCAGACGGTACCACTCCTATACCCTAGTGCCAACATCTCCATATCGGGAGATATTGAGGCGACAGAAGGCACTCTGTCTTTGATCTGATTGAAATCTATATCGGTTTGGTGGTTCCTGAACTCAAAACGATGGTTGTCCAGGAGCTTGCCATCAGCCATTGCCCACGTTAACACAGCACCATGCTCACTGATCCCAAAAATTCTATCCCCATGTGTTGTAAGATAGATGCAGCGAGTTCTTCTTTTCTTTTCCCATATTTTCTCCCCTTGTCTGTCGAAGAGGGAAAGCCTTTTTGTGCTGCAGACAATGATTGATTCAGCTGTGAAATAAACAATGTCCACTGGCCACTTTGAATGTAGACCACCGACTTGTTGAAAACTTTGTGCACTATAAAGGTTTATAAAGCCTGAGGCCATGGAGACAGCAACGAGGTTCTCTCCACATGAGACTGAGGATGCTCTCTCCTCTCCGAACGTTAGTTCTGCTGCACAGTCACCCCATCCTTCTCGATTCCAACCAATAATCTTCAAACTCCCTTGCTTGCCTCCAAACTGGCTATATATAGCCGAATTTCGGGGACATAGCGGAGGTATCAAAAAATGGATGACAGATGGGTTCACTAGTAATGAATCACCGAATTTGGCAACTATTCTACTGAGATCGATGGACCAATCTTCGATGTTTTTCACCTGGCGGTTGAGTGGTGATCTGGACTTGGCTCTTCGATCTAGGTATGCCTTTAGATTCTTCGAGGCTCTCATTAGTACCTCAAGTTCGCCTTTATGAGCGATATGCTCAATCCAAGTCAGAGAATTGGTGCGAAAGAATCGATCAATTTCAATCAAAAGATCGTCAGTTTCTGAGGATGCGCCCTGGACATGCTCTGAAAACTGTGTCATGGCATAGTCTAAGAACGGAGACTGTGACACTCGTCGCTGCGCTGGGCGGCCACGGCTGGGTTGTAGATCATGACTCATTAAGGCTTTGAGGCAAACAAGAGCAATTCTTTCGTGAGCTGCAGAGCGTCGTATTTTGAACTCCCCTGCGGCATCCGCCAGAAGAAACTCTCGGACGGTGGGATGAACAAAATCAACGATGCCCGAATGCTTGTCAACCGAGATTAGTTGACCGCAAAGGCCTTCGATGGCGTTCTCCGGGTTTGGTAGGTTGATTTCTATGTCGATCTTTAAAGCATGGGAGAGTTCTGTTGTTCTCAGTCGCCTGGCACTTCCCGCAGTCCAAAGTAGTACAGCCTTTGCGATATGTTTCTCGTGCTTGCTACCTGCCATTGTCGCAATTGTCCGTTCATAATATGGAATCATGCTTTCTGGAATGGCATGCAGCACTTGAAAGATGCTTTCACTGGAGTAAACTTGTTCAAGTTCGTCTAACACTAGTTTTACCCATAGGAAACAGGCGTTTGATCGTCTTAGAATTTCTGCTGCTAGTTCGGACTGTTCTTCGGTACTAGAAGTAGGGAGGCTATCTCTCCGAGCCTCGATATAACAGCTTATATCGTACATGCTGGAGCGCTCCGGAATCTCAAGGCTGCTCAATGTCAAAGATGCTTCCAGAGACTGACGCAGACGTGCCATATCTGGAACTTTTCGGCTCGTGACAAATATGCGCAATGGGAAGCTAGGCTGTTGACCTTTCAATATGGTGAAGAACTCCTGGTATTTGGTGCACTCATCCATCGCATCAATGACCCAGTACTGCGGAGTAAGTCCATGAATCTAGAGCAGAGAAATGTGTTAGTCTATGGCTCTTTTTTAGACACGAGTGGGATAAAATACCTGAAAGATTCCTTTACTAAAAAGCTTCGCCCAAATGGAAGGACCATCGTTCAAATCAGGAAGAGTGGTTTTATTGCAAAGCTTGAAAATATTATCGCGAATAAGTGTATTCTGAGCGGCCATTTGGAAAGCGAGGGACCGCAAGAAGTACGCCAAGGACTGTGACGCTTGGTCGCCAATGTGGAAATAGTGATAAGCACAATTGAAGTTAAGGTCCTGAAGCTGCTTTACGACATGGGCAGCCAGAACAGTCTTTCCTGTCCCTGGATTTGCTTGCACCCATAAGAATGCTGGAGGGTACCTGGGGGATTCTGTATGGGTGACCAATGTTTTTGCATCGACATTTTTCCATTCTTGGAATTCCTTGAAGTCGTCGATCCATTGGCATGATCCTTCGACCGCATGGTAGTGTTCTTCGAGACGCTCTGAGAGCGATAAAAACATCATGAGGGAATTGAGTTGCTCTTTACTCTCCTCTTTCTTCCCACGGCGCCCTATTGAATCTTAGCTGAGCCGTTAATATGGGCGGGGGTTCGTAATAGTACCATTCGTCAATAAGTCTTCAATAGCCCCAGACAACGCATTTGCAAGCCTTCTAAAATTAGCATCCTTAGGGCTATTGAATTTACACATTTCTTTGTGGTCTGCAATGAGATATTGGATGCGTTCATTCTGAAAACCCGGGCCTGGGATTTTGATTTGACTGTGAGACTCGTTGTCGAGATTAAGATAATGATGAAGTGCTTACCCAGAATAGCGGAATTTTTGGGTACAACTATGTCAGACTTTACACCAAGCTTCGTGTCCTTTGTTTCATAAAAGGAGTAGATGGGAATATTGTGAGCCTGCCTGCCAAAGTCATCATTAAGCACCTGTGTGGCTACCGAGTCAAGCTTTAGGTCTTTGACATAATTTGGAGATGACGAGCCAGAAATGCTGAGAATCTTGTTCAAAATTTTGGCGTACTCAGATCCTCTGTGAGGTGTGCCAAGAAAGAAGATGGTTTGCATCCGGCTCTGAAAGTCGGGGGACTCTTTAGCAAGTAGGAATGCCTAATCACCCTTAATTAATAATGACCTTAGACGTTCAAGCCTTGCTACATCGAGGTGGGAGGAGGCAGGAAGAACGTCCCAAGGACACCATACCTTCTTAATGACTAGCCCGCCTAGGGAGTGTCCAAGCATAATGATCGGGCCCTTAGAAGGTTAGCAGCCCTCCTCCTTACTTGATAGTAACGACAGACATACTCTCTCATTATTTCTCAAATCCGGGCAATTCCGCATCTGTTCAAATAATGATCGACCAATATCGTGAACAGTCAACATATTCGCCAGCTTAGCATCTGCGACGTCGGCCTCATAGCTAAAAGTATGGATATTGACGTGATGAAAACCAGGCTCAGATGGCAGCCAGCACTGCGGCCAAAATGTTTGCGTATCTCCACTCTTGTGCCAGGTCTTTATCGAATGCTCTCTTACGGAATGGACTAATATTAGATCCAGCAGAGGATCATTCGAGGTGTGTAGAAGCCTCAGCCCAGTAGATACTGTCTCTTCTTCCCGAGTGCCCTTGTCGCGCCATTTATACGGCAATGTCTTCGTAAATCTCTTCGTAAAATAGGAAGCACCGGTCGAATCGGACTGGCTATCGCCGATATCGTTGGATAACGTCTTGTTCTTGAGATTATTGCTTGCGCTCGTCCGGCGTTGATGCCAGGCGGAGGCGTTGGATTCTTCGCGCGTTTCCTCGCCCAGACTAACATCGTTGCGATTTCGGCCACTGGTGGTCTGGAAAAAGGGCTAAGCTGCCATACTTTACTGGGTCTGTGGGGATACATACCGACATCTCGAGCACAACAAAGTATTGTCCGGCTACGCAGTCATGGAGTGCATACGAGGTCTGGGACGGTTTCAAAGATGTTCATAGTCCAGTATAGAAAAGCAACTGAACACCTAAGCAACTTGCTGATGGTTGGAGAGACAGAAGCGTTACCACGTGATGCAGACCAACAGACGTAACAACAGGGCCTGGAAGCGCGCGGTAATGGGAATAGCAAAGCACACCTCACCCAATCCTTGTCCTTCTTATTATTCGCTCTTTCGTCTTACGAGATCCACGCGGGAATGGACATGCGGAAACACCTCTTCCAGTCTACCAATGGCAGCGAAGGTCTATGCAGGACGTGGGGCCGGAGGAGTGAGATGCCCTTGGCTGGCGCTTAATCGCAATGAGGGGGCCAGTTTTCAGAAACAAGCTTCACTCTATTTAGAAGCTTCATATTACGCTTTATCTTTCATCTGCAGCCGTCATGGATACCGATACGTTGACCCTCGACCCGGCTATTGTTGCAGGTAATTTTTACCCAGATCACTTGATTACCCCTGCCGACAAATGCTGATCTCCCAAGCAGCTCTGCCCGTCCGGGGTGAGGTGGTTGCCATCTTCAGGCATGGGGACACGAATGTAACGAAAGAAACACAGCCCAAACTTGCCCGGTACAACAATGATTCTAACTCGCTAGTCGTCAGTGGTCGTATGGGTATAAGATTATTATTGAGATCGACGATGATGATCACGAGTTTTTCGTCAAGGTGCTTAGTTGTCGATCTATATTCCACTGGTTGGCATCACTGATTAGATTCATGAAGATCCTTGACCGAGAAGATGCAAAAGAGCTGGCAGAAGGAGAGTATGAGTCGATGGTCCTCATGCACAAACTCATTCCAGAGGCCATTGTTCCTCCGATTGCCTGGGGCATGTTCGAGACCGATAGCTCCAAAGCCTTCTACCTCACATACTTTCGCGATCTTGATAAGCAACTCCCGTCTGATGATAGTTTGATACGCCTCATTAGTAAAATTCACCAAAAGGAATCACCAACGGGGAAATTCGGTTTCCACGTTCCCACTTTCTATGGTTGCCGGAAGGTAGATAACAGTTGGTGTGAGAGCTGGGAGGAATTCTTTTCTCGGGAGTTACGTTCGTCCATCAACTTTGCCCAAGCCGTCCTACAGCACGATGAAGAGCTTGAGGGCCTAGCGAAAACCTTCATTGATTTGGTGGTTCCAAGGCTTCTTCGGCCACTCGAGACAGGTGGCAGGAGCATTAAACCTCATCTCGTCTTTGGCGATCTTTGGGATGCGAATGTGCAAGTAGACAGTCGTACTAGAGCCGCGGCATTGTTTGATCCGTGCTGCTTTTATGGCCATTTCGAGTGTGAGTACCATCCAATAACAGGGGCGGTACGTGCTCTAATTCTCGACGCAGTTGATTTCCAATGCATGACTTCCGACCGTTACTCTCTCAATTACAACTTTGTCTATCTATATAGAGACCGGGTGGGAGTTTCCGAACCCGCAGAAGAATTCGATGATCGCGTTGCTCTTTACGCACTGTGAGTTTATCAGCCATCTTTCCCTTACGATTAGCACTCAAAAGATGGTAGAAGAAATGACTTCCATACCATGGGTATGTGGCCTCGGTGGACCTCAGTTCTTGACCAGTAAGTTAGATTGAAATTCTACTCATGGCGGGCCTCCAGGGTTAAAGCTGAAGTTTACAGTGTGAAATCTGAGATGAATCGACTTATAGAAAAATATCCTGATGGGCTTCATGGCCTTGAAGTCAACACTGCCCTTGAAAACAATACTGCCTTTGAAGAAAACACCGCCCTTGATTACAATAACCCCCTTGAAGAAAACACCGTCGAGAGTGCTACCATTGAAGGGAACGAGGACATACCTTTCTTCAATCCCATAGTCCCGGGCCAGGGTGGAACCTTGGTCGCCATCAAGGCGGACTCCGCGTAAGGAAGTATTGAAGAATAACAACAAAGGCATTTATGCGGCGGCTCGGTCTGTACATAACGCAGATATGAGTCATTACAGTGTATCATATGAACTTTACCAGCAGAAGCGGCGGGGAATATGTCTTTACACTGCAGATGAGGATGCGAACAGACAGCAAGGGCCAATGGAGATGCAGGAATGAGAGCCTATAACTACGGAGACGGGGAAAATTTGACCAATGCCAGTTTTGAGATAAGAATTTAGGGTTTAGTATTTGTCAGAACTATCTATGAAATGAATACTTTATGTTGGCTTGGTGTCTAACATCTGCCATGCCTTTATGAACATGCAGGTGTCAATTGCAAATTATCCTATGAAGCATGAACATTTCTGAATAGATGAAGAGCCATGGAATCTTTTTATTATACAAACCGCAAGTGTAATCTTCCACACTGCTTGCTGTAAGGCTAGGACCAGTGCCTTTTTATCAATGGCCCATGTGTAGTGGGTAACCCTTGCATTGCATTCAGGAGCGTTCCATAGGTGAGCGTTAATCAGGAATCAAATAGACCTCACTCACCAAGTCCTAGTGATCAAATATTTGGAAGGATGCTAAATTACCTTACTGTCCTCTTGTAGAGAGCTGCAGACAACAAACCTCTCAAAAATGAACTAACAGTTTATATTTGATCAGGAACGCTCTAACCGGCAGCTGGAGCCTGTGGCTGACGCTATTGGCGTGGGATGGTGCTTCGGCATATTTGTTGCGTCGCTTAGGATAGAATTTCTCTTGGGTTGACTTTTGAGAACACGAGGGGGTTCCTGGAGAACCAAGAAATAGTTAGATCGAGGAGTTCGCTTCGTTTAAATGTAGCGACACACTTTATGGATTGGTCGCGAAGGGTTACATTGGCCGACATAACGCCCACTGCATACCAGTTCAAGGACACAGGTCTGCCTCGGGAGAGATGGTCAATAATTTCCGGTTCTTTTCTTTCGACTCTTGTTTGTTGTACGCGTTGGGCTTGTTGGGCTGATGAGACCCAGGACAGCAGCTGATGCTCAATGTGGAGAACCGCGGGTTCCGTCGATGGACAATAAGATCCAAGCTAATTAATAGTAAGGAGGCGTTTGAACAGGATCATGGACGAGTGCGGCCCAACATATCTCATATCCGACGTACTGAAACAAGCCACTTTAGTCCGGGTAGACAATTTAACTACTCAGCAGATGGCAAGGTCATATTCCAATCAATCCCAGCTCGCAACATCAATCAAGTGGGCCAGCTTGAACATTGATGGATCCAGGGATGGTTCAAAAAGGGCGGCTGTGCGGCAATAGCGGCGATCTTCGATTACATCCGGCATTCGGGCATGGAAAACTGCGGCGCATTTCACCATTCTCAGCTTTGGCTTACACGCACCGTGTCAACAGCCAATCAACATCCAGAGTTCCCGAGCCACCCAATCACAGCAGGCGAGAGAAGGATCCAAACGATGGCCGAATCTTTATTTCTTCGGGAACATGCAGTCCCCAGCCGTTATGATGGTGCTGAGTATAAAAAGTAGGAAGTTTCCATGTCTTCGAATTAGCGTTGCATACCAGGCACGCAGAATCTTGTCCTTCCAGTTCGCCCTCCTCACGTTTCAAAGCCACAGACCTTCGAATTAACAGACAAGATGGGCCAAAGTTTATCCAACTATTCTCAATTTTTCCCACCGAAGCCAACCTTCACGGAGGCCAATATCCCGGACCTGAAGGATAAGGTATCTATATACACGTCATTCCTCCCTAGGGAGAATCTATCTAACCGTCGATGATAGGTTTATCTTGTAACCGGCGCAAACACTGGTGTTGGTAAAGATGTCGCCCGGATACTCTATTCGAAGAACGCCAAAGTGTGGATTGCGGCGCGCTCCGAAGAGAAGACAAACAAGGCAATTGATGAGATCAAGAAATCATCACCAGGATCTACAGGCTCTCTAGGCTTCCATCATCTGGATCTTGCCGACCTCAACTCCGTGAAGAAGTCAGCAGAGAAATTTATTGCATCGGAAAGCAAACTGCACGTTCTGTTTAGTAACGCCGGCGTACAGTCTCCCGATGCTGCTGCAAAGACTGCCCAAGGACATGAAATTCATGTCGGGGTTAACTGCCTTGGAACGTTTTTGTTTACTAAGTTGTTGACACCATTGCTGGCTAATACGGTCAAGACCGCAGACCCTGGAACAGTCCGCGTCGTCTGGGTCTCTTCGTTTGTGGACCTTGTCGGCGATAAAAGAACAGGCTTGCCGCTAGACAAGATGGACTTCTTGAAGATAAACTCTCCCTTGGATAGGTATGCTTACAGCAAGGCTGGAAATTATTTACACGCGGTCGAGTATGCCAGGAGGCATAAGGAGGATGGTATCATCTGCGTTCCTCTGAACCCTGGAAATCTTGCATCGGACCTCTACCGAGACCAAGCCGGCATTTTCAAGCTCTTTGTGAGCCTCATCGTGCACCCTGTTGTCAATGGAGCATACACAGAGCTATTTGCCGGGCTGACTCCCACGATCAGCTTACAAAACACAGGAGCCTGGGGTCAGTTACCACATCCATCTTCAATTAATGGTCGCTAACACATCATCCAGTTATTCCCTTTGGCAGGCTTTCGACGATCAGGAAGGATCTTGAGGATGTTCTGAAAACTGAAGAACAAGGGGGCACAGATGCGGCAAGGAAGTGGTGGTCATGGTCTGAGGAGCAAGTCAAGCCATACGAGTAACCCTTTCAGATTTGTGCAACTTTCAGCTGTTGTTGCGCAGGACGAAACCCCCTAATTGCAGTGTCAGTATCTTATTTTTCATTTTTATTTTTATTTTGTTGGAAATGTAATTTGAAAGCAACTGTTAGTTACCTTAGATAATATTGGAGGAAGATAGTAGATGGCTTGAGGACCGTTTTTCGCATGGGTTGGATCCCAATCACCACAATACTGTTCCTCAATTGACTTTCTTCCCCAATTTTTAAACGGCAGAAAGATCTGGAACCCGTATTTGTTTTCTTTTCTTTTGCTCAATGCGGTGTCAAGCACCTGTCACATTTCTCTGTCACGTGATGACACACAGTTCCTCCAATTGAATCCAACCTCCTTCTCAGCAATTGTTTACTTTTTCTGTCGAATCAGATGTGCATATCTCTGAAACAATACCTGTGCTGACGCGGGGTTCGCAAATTTCCGACGCGAGAACATACACTCTCCTGCGAGCATAACCACGAACAGAGACGAGCTTCCCTCTATGCTATCATCCGTCGAGGCGTAACTACATGTAGTGATAGTCATCTGGCTTGCCACCATGAGCGCTCACCCTTTAGAGTGTCAGGCGCTGGAGCTCTCGAGTGCGGAGAAATGCCGCAATGAAGCTACTCATGCGGAAGGGCTGTTTTGTTGGTTTCACTCCAAGCAGGTCTACGGCCTCTATCTCGGCTACAAACGACGCAATGCCCGGCTGGACGCGCTGGAAGATGAAGCGCCCGGCTATTTGAAAAGCTCGAATGTCCCTCTTGGAAATCAGACATTCCAAGACCTGGTTGACGAAAAGGCACTGCAAGAGATTCACGCGCATCTTTTTGAAAAGTACAACCTCATAGGGAGAGTTATTGACGCTCGGAAGCTTCATCATAAGCACTTCTATTCCCTAGATTTCGACTATGGACACCAAGCATACATTGGCAAGCTCAGTAACCAACGGCACATCACCCTGCGAGCCTTGGAGAACCTTGGTAAACGGATTTCGGAGTTGCTCTATGAAAAAGAGCAGTGGTTCACATGGGCTCGTCAGGCCCAGGATGCGGAGGAAGCAAACCGCGATAAAATGCAGAAGAAGATCATACAGGAAGCTGCTCTGTTCAAACGTCACTGGGCCGTGGTACAGGCCAGGTTAAAGAGCAAGCGTCAGAAGGAGGAGGAGAAGCGGCATGAAGCGTACCTCGAGGCAGCTTATCAAGAGAGAATGGCGATGGGCTTGGCAGAAGAGTATGGAGATGAGGAGTGGGATCCGATTGAAGACCAAAATTCGGACAAGCGCTACCAGTATGTTGATTTGATAATGCACTTCCTTTGGATGGAAGTACTGGAGCAGGACCCAACTATATCTCACATCGAGCCTGTCGCCACCGGAAACCTTGACGATTCTGCCCCTGCCAACGAGACCTCGACCCCTGCTAAGAAGCCGAAGACAAAGGGCAAGAAAGGTGACGCCTCAAAGGCTGTGTTGGAGTCCAAAAGTCCCCAAAAAGTCCGTAGAGCAGAGAGTGGCCAGAAGACGCTACTTGCCATGCAAGCACGTGGTCCGGTTGTCACTGACGAAAAACAACGCGAACCGGATAAAAGCAGCATTGAGACAGAGGTGGACATGAGGAAGCGTCTGAAAGAAGGGGTGGAGAAAGACCACTCCAAAACCTGGGGCACCCAGTTGATTGGCTCTTTTGATAATCCCTCCGAGACATATGAGAAGACGGCCCCGATGAGCGATGAAGACATCGATGCTGCCGTCAAGGAAGTAAAGGAGGTTAAGCTATTGTTATTTTGTCGCCTTGTCCTTGCGCACGCCTCGCTATTGCCTGCTGCCCTACGAGCTAGTAACGTGGAAGAGTTCTTGCAAGATGCTGAAATCACGCATTCCGATTTGCGAGATCTCTGCTTGAAGGTTGAGGCTCCGACTATGCAGAACATCCGAGACGCATGTGCTGATTTCGCCCGCGGAGATGATCCTGAAGATGACACAGATGAACCTATCGATGAAGAGGAAATAGAGAACTTGCGGGATTTGGTCACCGCAGAACGGCGCTACCAACACTTGCAAAGCAAGAGCTGGGTCTTGGAGCATATCCTGGATGGCCAGAGCCGTGCTGCTGAAAATGAGAAGAGCAAGAGCAAGAAGAAGAGGGACAAGAAGAAGAGCAAGAAGACCAAGAATACGACAGACGAGAAAACGAAGATCACCATCTGCGGCAAAACAATCTGGAATCATGCCAGCGAGAAGGCAATGTCGAGAGACGGCTGGTTCCAGTTTTCCATCATGGCCAAGGACTGTGACCTCAAACACGCGATCCCACTTTGCCGGAACTGGAGCGAGTTCTCTGAGCTGAATCATCTTTCACTTTGGCAATTCTTCCCTGTGTCAAACTGGACGTCCTGGACCCCTAACCATATGGTTGATCAACTCCAGAAGCTCGAGTTCTTCCCATATCTCATCGACCAGTGTGCGGAACTGTACAGTCGCTACAGCCAAGCCAGTGGTAGAGGCAAGGCAAGACGCCATCACGATATGGTCGAGGCAAAGAACATCATTGTTGGCCATATGAAGCGCAACGACCCAGTAACCCGTCGATTTCTCCAGTACATGGTCATGAGGGCTGGAGAGGTTATGGTTTTAGTGCGGGATGGCAAGACTGGTCGTGTGATGACAGCACCTCCCGAAGAACACCTCTGGACATACCGCCAAAAGTCGGGAATAGGAAGGGCCTCAAAGAACGAATGGGTCAACGTGCTCGAGGTCGGACCAAAATTCTTCGCCTCGAGTGACAAGTTACGAGACTGGCGCTTTGCGTTTGATGACTACTACGAGGTGTACATGTGGGACTTTGCTCCTTGCCAGCCTGCGAGCTCGCTATCTAACGTGATAATTTCTGTGAGCTTTGCTTCCCTTTTCCGCCTGTGTGCGTAACATTTTTAGTCTTAAGCTAACACTCGATCCCAACAAGGAACTCCGAAATGCGTGGCGCGTAACCAACCCACGCGAACTCTTTTCGCACATGGAGCCGCTGATGCGTTCTCTGACACGGGAGGAGACCACCATGCGGACCCGCAGGGTAAAGCCAGGTGAAGATGTCCAGAGCCTCTGGGACACGGTCAACAGCGAGACAGCCGAATACTCCATGGTTGAGCTCACTGGTAACGAACCCGTCAGCTTAAAGGGCGCCGACCTCGCGAAGCGCTCGGATCTTTTCTATAACGAGGGCAACGCTCTTGAAGACGCAGTCCTGTTTCCGGATGAACTGGAGTCGAACAACAAAAAAGTACCATTCCGGGAGATGAATACCCCCATTGATCGTATACAGACAGCATTTATGAAACCTAAGTTGCGTGGCTGGGAAAAGATCATGAACGGCCCTGCCAAGGACTTTGCGAGCACAATCTTAAATGCCCAGGATGGTGACAAATTTGAAAAATGGGTTTGGGAGATGCCTAAGATTTGGGAGAGTGGCCTGGACGCGCTTCGCCTAACGGAATACTCTAACGAACTGGAAGAAATCCTTATGCGTACTCGGGTCACCGAGGTAGAGAATCTAGACGTCCATGGGCATTATCAAAGTTCCAGCTACATGGACGTGGAGGAGCGAGAACGATCTATCGGTGAGTCACGACTTCGAAATCAAGTGCTTCTTACTGATGTTTGCCGTATTTAGCATTCAAGCAAGTATTCCACGACGGAGACCTCGAACCAGAGGCGTCTGAGGATTTCAAAGAAGTAAAGGACGTGATAGACACCATACTGGGACTCACTCATGAGGGACCAGTCGATTGGGTTTGGTTCATTGTTGAGACGTTGGATTGGCTTGGCATCGTAGCTGATGAGCGCTTGCCCGACAAATCTCTGGACCTGTGGCCACATGCATTTGTTGTCAACGACATAGTGCGGGCCTTTGCGACGATGGCGATGTTCTTCCCTGAGCTCGATGTCACTGCTCCCGTCACCAAGTTCATCCAATCGGGCCCGTGTGAGAGCTTTAGGAACTCGCTGCTATTCGACCCATGGCGGAGAGGAGAGGCACAACCGGACCGCAGAGGCCGGGCAAGTTACAAGCTCCGTGATTCCGAGTTTTGGGATGAGTGGGACAAAGTCTGGACTGCAGGGGGTTACTATGCGGAACATGTCCCCCTGGAATGGAACATTGCACTCCGCCCTATCATCGCCAAACGTTCGTTAGAACACCGCCCTTCTTCAAAGACATGGTACTTTTGGCTAACACTCTTTCTCACAGTATACCGAGCGGGCATCATTGAACAATGGTATGCTCAGAACAACCGTGAAATCATTCTAGGCGTTGCCACGGCCAACACCGAGCCACACCGGCCAGGTAAGCTGGACCTGTTCATCAACTACCACAATGATTATTCGTACTTCACTCCCCGCTTGCCGCCCGGGTATATCCACCCCGACACATGGCCAGCGCTGCTTCCACTCGCCCGGAAGTTCGCTAGGGAGCACGAGGGCGCTCGGTTCGCGCTCCTCCGTCTCTGGTCCGCACCGCATTTCTACCCCATACTGGTCGGGCTGGAACAGCGGCGGTATACCAGTTTTCTTGATGGCGTCGGCCGCACATGGGAGTTCAGATTTATGCCCAAGGACGCACTTGCCAGCGAGTTTATGGCACACAGAGTCGTCGAAATGATATTGAAGCTCATGCGCAGACAGGTCGGCGATCGGGTTGCGCATCGGGGGGACTTGGTTTTGGTGATGGCGGAAGATCCTAAGCAGCTCCTCAAGTATGCTACCGGGGTTACATTTGCGCTGGAGACTAAATCTTGGCTGAGGGAAGTTGATGTGTGGAAGAGCTTTATAAATGTTGATTTGGATGTACTTGAGGGCTTGGATCCTTACTGGTGGGATTGATTGCTGGATGATGGCATTGTGTCTCCTCGCTATGCAAATGCATGATGAATTAGGTGTGCCTAGATACATACATGCATAGGTGAAAGATTCTAAATCGTCACCTCCCATACATGATAGTAGCAACTAGCAGTCCATGTCCGACGTCGTGATATCTTCTTGCCTCAAATATCAAATGTCAAGCTCCACCACCTGACCTCCAACAGAAGATGCCTCGTCGCCTGCTGTGACGACAAATAATTTCTTCTGGTTCCTGCTGAGTGCCACAGAGGCCGGGGCAACAATCGTACCATTCATCACGACCGTCTTTTCCCCCTTCGGAGAAACCTTGTACAAGAGGTTCGGACGCACTGTGACAAAAGCGTTCCCCTTTTTATCCATTACGAAGTCATCCGTGGCAGCGCTGGAATCAGCGTCTCCGAATTGGGCGATGAGCTCGGCGGGTTCAACCTTGTTTCCGAACGCGTCGATCTTGACTCGTCCCAGCGCTCGCCGTTTCGTGCAGGTGAAGTAGAGATGGTCTCCGAATATCTTTAGCCCATTGACACCAAAGTCATATGGTCCAACAGGGCCGGGGGTTAGTAACTCATCCTCGACAACAACCGCGGCCTCGCCAGAGGTAGTGTCAACACGCCAAACCAGCCCCTTCGTCGAGTCTGCACCCAGAACCAAATTAGGGTGCCATGGAAGTGTGACCAATCCATTCAGTGGTCCAACGTCTCCTCCCCGTAGTATGAAGTCGACTGTTGGAGCTGTAGTATTCTTATGCGCTCCACAGCGGTCCTTTCTGAAATCAGCCCGGATCATCTGGATTGAGCCAGGTGTAAACCCAATGTCTGGGCTGTATTCCGCTCCTGTGATGGCAAATACGTCTTTGCTAATCTCAGTGATTCCAGCTGCAGCGCTGATTTGATCAAAGTCGGCCACAATCTCTGGTTTGGCATTTGGACGGGATGGATTGAACGAGTAGATGTCCCCCTTGCCGATTGTAGTCAATAATAGATCCCCGTTGGATCGCACAGCTATATTTTCTATCCATATCCCCGGGAGCTGCAAAATCTCTCTTGGCTGGCGATCAGAAGGGCGTGTAGTCTGTATGGGGTTTGCCGAGGCATGGAAGCTGAACACCCCAGCGACGAGGACGACGGCGGACAACGAAGCACGCATATTAGTGGAATTTCCGGAGAAATTGAGAAAGCTTGAAGTAGAGGATGTATTCTTGAAGATGAAGAGGCGTGGCTCAGAATATCAAAAAGTTCGATCTTTCACTAGTATTTATATTTCAAAGCCACTTGCTTTGGGAGATAGTCTCCCTCTCCTGACATCCGTTGATTTATAAGCCGAACTATGGAAATGATCAATAACTAGCACTTTTTCTATCCCAAGGCCTTTTTCCAGATGTCAGATCATCTCTATGAACAGATTCATGTTCTTCAACCTTGCATCATCTACATGAGCTTCAAAGACAGGGTTCATACTCCATCGACTAGGTCCGGGTCCACCAAATTAGAACATGTCATGGAACGGGACCGTCGATTTTCATGTTGTCTCCACTTAGATTCCCTGTCTATCCCTGCTAAGTGACCAGAACAATCACATTTGATTTATAAGCTGACCAATGGCTCTGTGTTGAGATCTAGCAATAACGGAATCCATACTGAAGGTGCCGTTTCTACGCAGGCATTGACTCCACGAAATAAGGACAATCATATCATGGCACGGGAACCTTCTGCTCTTCACCCAGAAGAATTGCTCCTGTATGACGACGAATACCAGGTCGTCGTATGCCAGCAATGCAAATACGCACTTCGTGGAACCGCTATTGACAGGCATCTGAAAGAGGTTCACAAGATCCTCCGGTCGTCACGACACCCGTACATGGCCTACGTCTCCAAATTTCCTCTCCTCGAGCCTGAAGAAGTTATCACCAAGCCTATGAATGATTTCCCCGTTCCTTTCCTACCTGTCTTTGATGGTTTGAAGTGCCTGGATAGTTCTTGTAGCTACCTATGCATTTCTACAAAGCGCATGCAAAAACACTGGCTGTCGGAACACGGAAGACATGGGTATGACAACAAAGACTGGCAACCTGCATTGCTTCAAACATTCTTCAGAGGAAACTCACTACGGTACTTTACGGGGCCTTCGAAGGAGCCAACTTGTGGAGGAAACCAGGTTGGTAATGTCGTAATACCATACCCAGAAATCTGAGGTTCTGACTGAGCGGGACATGTTAGGTTGTAACAAGTTATGGATCGCCACAGATGATCCAAACTCTTAATGATGGCCATTTAACTCCCTCCAAGGACGAGCTTTTGCAGCACTTTCAAACTTCAACATCCAACACAATCGTAAGAGGCGAGGAGGATCTCTGGCGCCATACTTTACCCCAACTTGCCGCCTCTCACCAATTTCTAATGCATGCCATTCTCGCTTGCTCGGCGTTGCATCTCGCCGCTAAACATCCGTTACAACAGCAATACCTTATTTGCGCATTCAAGCATCAGAATATTGCCATGCCCATGTTTCGAGATGCTGTGGCGAAAGTGACAGAAGATAACTGCCACGCTATTCTAGGATTCATGCATCTTCTAGTCGTGTATTCTTTCGGTGCCGAGAGACATGAGGATTCACTCCTATTGATTGATACCTCAAGCCCAGAGCCGGACTTCTTGTTGAGCTGGCTGTATTATCGACGCAATGGATGTACTCTTTTGGGAAATTACAAGGAGCTGATCTCATCTGGACCTTTGAAACAGCTCTGTCGATGTTGGCACCTACCAGATATAACAACTGAAAAACTCCCACAGACAAAGGATGTACTGCTTGTAGCCCTGGAGGACTTGGTTACATCTCTGCACAATGGGGGTGAGCTTTCAAAGGAAGACTATCATGCAGTTGAGGAAGCAGGCCATCGACTTCTCTGCGCATTTGTGAGAGCCGATAACTTGGGCAGCGACTTCAACCCATGGGATGCGGTCTGCGGCTGGCCGATGCTGGTCTCTTTACAATACACGCGTCTTCTCGCGCAGCAGCATCCTGTTGCTTTGATTCTTCTGGGCTACTATTGCTTGCTCCTCAAGAAACTACAAGGTCACTGGTTCATTGGCAACTATCCTCTACGACTGTTGTATCTCGTCAAAGGGGGGTTAGAACTTCGATGGCATTGCTATATTGATTCCTTGATAAATAGGTGGGAGGAAGGGTTATAGGATCATGTCAGTGCACGCCGCCTCGAGTGAGACGATGATTATGCATGTTTTGGAAAAGATCACAACGTTTTTACCTTATTTATCTGCCTTAGATCGCACCACTACCTTCAAGCTTTCAGTATCGTCATACCGGCGTTGGAACCCACCAAAGACGAGGGGCTCAAGCAAATTTTGAGTCTGGGTATATTAGGCCTGAGTCATTGTCCAGTGGAGGGCGCAATGAAGATGAAAAAAGTTCAGGGCACAAATCCAGCGCTCACTAGAACTGAGCACTGGCAGGAAGCCTTGGCCAGCAACTCTCGGAGAGTATGATCCTCAACCATCTTGGGGAAGGGACGCCTAATCCCACTAACATATGAAAGTTCTCAATGTGGAGTTCTAAGAGATTTATAGAAGGAGTAATTCAAATGGAAATAGTAGATCTATCTAGAGCAAGGAGTTTAAATACCGACACAGACTTGATGCGTGGCTTAGATCGAGAAGGAAAATTAGTATATAACCCGACAGCAACTCGAAAATTTAAAAAGTCTAATCTAGGAGGGCAGCCATCCATATCAATACTCCAAATTCATCCAAGGTCCTGCTCCATTTCGTGACTTCAGATGTAGGATCGACAGAACTTCTTTCAGAGGACCCCCTGGGTTCCATTGTGCGCCTGGAAAGCTGCAGATCTGAGAGCTTCAGCAGTCGATTCATCTTGTTGGTTTTCTCTTGGCTCTCAAACCGATAACCCCATTCCTCATTTGACAGCGGCTGCCACAGGTCACGACTGCATGGAAGCGGAACCAAAGAGTATCCACCACATGAAGCCCTGTCAGTATGGCTCAGATTCACGTCAATAAGAAGCTCGATTCCGTATAGTAAGCATATTGTTCTATAGAAAATTCAGCAATGAAAGCCACTTAACGCCAGGGTTAGAACATACCTTCGGACACTCTCTCGGAAATTCCACTCTGATCGATTCAGGCCATGGCCAGTTGGTATATTGGTTTCGTATTCACACATGTTGTGTAGTCTCTTTGCCAATTCCTATCAATATCGGAGAGATTAGCATTCATTCGCAAAAAGTAGCCAATTCTGAGAAGGGAAATCCGGTACTAGGGCTTAGCTATTCTCACCCCAGGTGTTTCAATTAACAAATTCACGTCATGGTCCTTGACGGAGTCAGTATCGCTGGCCTGGAGTAGTAGATACACTATTGAAGCTTGTAGGGCCTCGAGTAATTCTTCTCGGCAATAGCTTTGGTACTGATTTTATTCTCCATGTCAGTTCCGAGGGTTGTAGACCCAAATTCCGATGATAAACACTCACATCTTGGTTAAACCTCTCCAGCTCAGATAATATATTTCTCCATATAAACTCCACACTTCCCTGTGTTCTCAACTCAAACAATTGAACCAAGCTGCTACAAATAGCGAGGGATTCAGGCAGACATTTGTGGAGTCCATTAGAGCTGCACTTGTTGCTGGCGGCTAAACCGCCTGTGCCGCAAGGGGGAAAGATAAACGGAGGCAGGCGTCCCCCTCCGACCATCATGGAAGGATAGGAAAGGAGTTGGCCTAAGAGTAACTCCGTAGTTATCCTATTATCGATACCCGATGTGCGAAGCTTAGAAAAGGGTTTGGTTCTGTAATTCTTTCGCGGCGACAGCAGAGCTCGGCGTTGCCTGGAGCCCTCCCAAAGTGGCAACAGACTTAAATCCACTGTTGGTGGTGTTAATTGCTGTGTCTGTGTCTGTGGCTCTTCTGGATCAAATGTGGAACCAGGTTCAAACGGACAGCTGAGAGAAGGAATGTCTAAACCAGAAGAATCCGAGTTGTAGATCGGACAATCACCCAACAACGGCTGGCCGAAGTTTGTGAGATTGCCCGGGTCAACAAGAAGCATGTCCGAGATGCTCAGTTCCATTGGGTCTAGCATATCCGAGGGGCATGGCTGTATATCGGGCGTGAGGGGGGCTAGATAGCACCCCTGATCGCCAGACGGCAAGCTCGTAGCGCCCGGCTCATGTTGCGGGATCAGTCTAAGAGGTTGCGAGGCCGGGGGTTGACTTTCCACTGTGGCCTCATCCGAGGAGGTTTCGCGACCCCCAGATCCAATTGGTCTTAAAGTCCGAAGCCTCCGCCGCTGCGAGATGGCTACGTTGTCGTACTTGCAGTCCCAGTTCCGTTCTTGGCAGTGGAAGCATGGTCTGCCTTGGGAGCACCTCGCCTTTTGGTTTCGGCATTGTATGCAGGATTTCTTCCGAGTCGATACCATATTCGTTAATTTAGACAATCGCGTACCGGTCTTCAATATCCAATCGAAGTTCGTTGGTGAGATGGAGGTAAACAGACGATTTGTCAGAGTATCAAAGTCGACTCCCGGTTTGTCAGCAACTCCGCGGAGTTCTGGCCAATCAGATGAGCTGACGCCCAGCTAACCTATACACGGAACAAAAACCAACCGCCAAAGAGTTTTGAAGACTTGCTATTGCGTGATATGCTCTATTCCCTAGTATGGACATCGAAGTATACCTCGGAGACTTTAAAATGCGAGAGGATCACGATGGCTAGACAAACATATTATATCGAAGTATATAAAGTGACCGTCCCATTGATGTTAGATTGCGAGACTTTATGAGTTGTTCAACTGCAACAATATCTTTAGAACTATCTATTCCATCCATTACATTTTATCGCTATGGCTGTTACTCGAGTCGGTTTAGTCGGACTCACTAGCAAAAAGCCCGACGGGTTGGGTCCCCATGCCTGGGCCGCGTTTGCCCTTCTTCCTGTTTTCCTTCACTCTCCTGACTATGAACTCGTTGCGCTGTGTAACTCTTCAGTCGAGTCCGCTCGTCGTGCCATTGAAGCATATGGGTTATCTTCATCTGTGAAAGCATACGGAAACCATGAAGATATTGCAAAAGACCCGGATGTTGATATGGTCGTCATCAGCGTGGGAGTAGGCAAGCACTTCGAAATCGCAAAGCCTGCACTCCTCAAGGGGAAGAAGGTTTTTGTCGAATGGCCACTGGGAGCATCGACAGAGGAAGCGGAAACACTCACGGCCCTCGCTCGTGAGAAAAATATCAAGACGATTGTCGGAGTCCAGGCTCGAGCAGACCCTCTCGTCCTGAAAGTCAGGGAAATCATCGAAAGCGGAAAGCTTGGCAGGATTACTAGCTCCAATGCTCTTGGGTCTAGCAGTGGCCTGCCGTCTCATTTCTGGTTCAATGGGATGGACTACTATCTGGACATCAAATCCGGAGGCAATCTATACCACATCTACTTTGCTCATTGTATGTTGAATGCCCACCAAGGCCTCAAAATATCCAATTCCAGCAGTGGAGCTAACGTTGTGATTTTTCAGTCCTTGATTCCTTTACTTATGTTCTAGGCGATTTTGAAACACTTCAATCAGATCTTAAAACCGAAATTACCGAAATACCTGTCATGAGAGATGACGGATCCCTCACGGAGCCCCTGCAGAAGAATACCCCTGACCACGTCCTTGTCCAAGGGAGACTGAAGAGTGGTGCTGTGGCTTCTATCGCCTACCGCTGGTGCTACCTTCAAGAGGCCGTGGGTAACGTGGGTATTCGGTGGATCATATCTGGGACAGAGGGTGAGCTCGAAATAACGGCAGACCAAGGACAGTGGCAAATGAACTCCCCGGATAGGAAGCTCAAGTTGAAGCTCAGGGGAAAGCCGGAAGAAGATGTCGATTTCTCAGTTTCGGATGCTGGATTTGTCCAGACTATGGGGTCTTTTGGGCAGAACAGCGGGCGGATCTTGAATGCGTTTGCTCGTGGGGACCAGGCTGTATATGCTGACTTCAGCTCAGCCGTACAGACCCATAAGCTTCTTGATGAGATTCTCAAGAAGTCTGGACATGAGTCTTAATGGCTTACTCCCTCGGCTTCCCCAGCGTTCGAGGATCAAATGGAGATTCTTCTAAGAGATTTAGACTACAACGGACTGTCATGGGCCGAGAATATGAAGCACGCCGTGTGTTTTAGGGACAAACAAATCTTACTCTACGCTTTACTATGCCTGAAATACTCATATCGTATGAAATCTCCGACCCTGCGTATTATTTAATTATTACTGCAGGATTCCAAAATTCGAGTGTGCGAACACACAGCTTCCATGCCATATGAGCGCTCCCTTAAACTTGCATCCATAAATTGAGAAAATACTTGAATAGGAAAAATTGCGAAGCAAAGTCTTCCGGGCAATTGTGCGAGTATAATTGACGGGTATAACACGATACACCGAGCAGCGTCGACAGCGAGATAAACGAGGACAAAATTGCCCCCCTGATCAGGGAAACCTTTTGGTGCGGGTAGGGTATTTGTTTCTCAAATAATGATCAATAACTAACACACTAGACCAGGCCCTTTTCTCTCCACACAGCTTCGCACCCTTCTAATGCCCCGGGGTACCGATGTACGCCGGCAAGTGTGCAATTCTTCCAGTATCGGCGGAGAGTATTACAGTGTTGGGGAGTCGCCGCCTCCATGCCAGCCAAATATGCCGGTAGTGACATGAAAACGGTGTAGGGGTTTGACTCGGAGCTTGAATCAAGGACTAGACACAATCGATCTACCGCCGAAACCAATGTCTGACCCTTGAACGGCTCTGCATCCCCGTCTTTCAGTCGCGTAATAGCCGCGATGGCAGCGGCACAACGATGCGTATCTGCACAGTGGCTATAATCGCTGTTGTCGAGACCAACTTTGGACAATTGGTTTATGACTTGGATGGAGATACCCAGAGGATTTGAGAGCGCAGCCCCTTTGGTTATATCGTGAAGAACTCTGTAGCAGTCGGCCGGGCATCCCACCATACGGAAAAAGTCGTCGTCGAAAACATTATGATGCCAGTCGTCTAAAATCAACGTTGAGCCATCCGTTTTGGTGAGCGTGCCACAAAGATCGAACCATGCAAGCCTTGCAACGACATCGATTAGCCCAGGAATTGATTTCGAAAGTTTATTCAGGTCGTCTCGGCTCCGGCAGTGGTGGTCAAGGAGAGACTTGGCCCCGCGGATATGATGCTGCCACTGCCCGAAAGGGCCATTGCAAACTTCAAACACAGCAAATGCTGCAATCCCAAGAATGGCAAACGGGTTAGCAGTCTGGAGCGCCTTGTTGAGGCAAACGAGAAGGGTCAACTGGTGGGCGGCCGCTTCGACGCTCTCGGGACAGTCGTTGTTAAGAAAGTCGTTGGCAGATGATAATGTTTGGACAAAGTCGCATACTGTGGTAACAAGGTCGATAGTCTCTGAGGAGATGCGGTTCTGTCCACTATCTCGTGTTTGCTGAGCCTCGGAGTTGATGCGGTCACAGAAGGAGAAAAGATGCTGCAGAAAGCTTTTCTCCTTCAAGCCACTCGACAAGGGCTGTTCCTGGGCAGAACAAGGAGTAGTGATTTGTTCATGCAGCTGTATTCTGGTCGCGTTTTCCGGCCGATCCGTTTCTTCCTTTATCGATGGTCCTGGGACGTGTCCTGTGCCTGGTTTGTTGTCGGAAACCCAGACGACCCGACGAGCGTAGCCACCACATGACAAGCCCGCAAGTCTGCAAGGGAGACAACCGGGACGATTAAGATCGCATTTGACATTCCTCGACTTACAAGTGATACAGTCACGATCCCGACGTAAACCACGGGGCTTACCACGAGGCTTGATTGATACGATGTGAGGAGCGTTGGGCATCGCTAGGGTTCCCCAACCGGACCATTTCCTAGAAGAGAAGGGAATCAAACTTCCCGGGGCAAGCAATCAACGGAGGGCGGGGATGGACTCTTATAACCCCACCCAGAGGTACTGACTTCTACCCTGCCACAGCTGATAAGCTGCCGGCATCGCCCACTAACTGTATTGCCACAGTTCCGAAACCAATCCCCACAGATAAGACCATTCAGGGATGGCTGTTTCTATGGGACGTGACAAGCTCATTCTTAGTGGCTGACGACTCAGCACTTGTCTGCTATCATCAGCAGAGGGACAATACACTGAATACAGTCTCTTTGAGAATAGGTGTAAGCTTCCGTAGCGCAACCAAAGCCCTTGGGTCCCTGTGTCTCTGTGCGGAGAGCCACTTCTCGTCTCCATGGGGCAGGTAGTCAAGATAAATATCATCTGTTTCCTTGATCATTGTTGTAAGTTCACTTCTTTCAATCCCTTGCATTTAATTCAGCAATCCTAGAGCTTTCGGCGTGCATAGCGCGCTGCGTAAAGATGTTGGCCAGGGTTCGTGAATATCTTCACGTTGGTTACAAAACGGGAGAGCGTCTCCTTGTACGAAAACCGACTTCTTTATTCTCACTTTCTGTTGCGTCATCTATTTTGTCAACTATGTAAGCGTTTTTGCCTGTTTCTCTACCTGTGTTCTGAAGTGTAACTTACATCAATACCAGCTCGACCGCAACAACATCAACAATGCCTATGCTTCCGGGATGAAAGAACATCTCAATTTTCAAGGAGATCAATTGAATCAAATTTTTACCTGCTTCACGGTTGGGTAAGCCTCGCTGTCAAACAGAAGATAAACATACAAAGCATAGGGTATGTTGTTGGCCAAGTTCCCTCGAATCTTTCACCTCAATATGTCAAGGCTCGCATATGGTTTCCACTCATGATGCTCCTGTGGGGTGGGCTAACAATGGTCACGGCCTCGGTGAGAAGTCCCCAGTCCATCATGGCTATCCGCATCTTCCAAGGCATCTGTGAGGCGCCTATTTTTGTCGGAACACATTACATCTTTGGCTCTTTGTATACAGAGAGGGAGCTTGGCAAGCGTAGCGGTATATTCAATGCATCAGGTCTGGCCGGAATACTCATTGGCAGATTTATCCAGACAGGCATCCACCAGAGCATGAACAATCTTCATAGACTTGCTGGCTGGTGTTAGCTGTTTATTATTGACAGTCTTCTGACTATTGCCGTTGCCCTGTACGGGTTCTTCCTCTTTCCTAATACGCCGCACACAGCGACTGCATTTTATCTGTCAATGGAAGAACGTGAACTAGCTACTTCTAGAGTTCCCTCACCGCTACTAAAAGAGAAGATTCATCAGTTGAATCTCAGTTTCGCCATCAAGGTGCTCCTTTCATGGCAATGGTGGGGCTTTCTCGTGCTTTGGATATTCGCTGGCAACACTGGGTCTTTCAGTGTCAATGCCCAACTGAATTTTTATATGCAAAGCCACCCAGTCAACAAGTACACCGTGGCCCGGAAGAATAACTATCCCACCGGCGTGCTGGCTGTTGGCATTATCTCCACCTTATTCTAGGCTACTCTGGCAGATTTCCTTGGTGGGAAACGCTATCTCGTGAGCTATTTTATCGGAATTACGGGCATCTGTACGTCGATTATGGTGCTTGTTGCTGCTAAGAACCCCGAGAGCTCCTTGTCAACCACCGTGACATTTGCCGCCTACTACTGGGCTGGATCGGTATACGCTTACCAGGCAACCTTCTTCGCATGGTGCAACGATGCCATGCGAATTGATGCGCCCATGTTCCGTGGTATCGTGTTTGCTGGGATGAATATGGGCGCCAGCTCTGTCTCTTGGTTTAATGTATGTTATCTATCTGTTAAGTCCCATTCGGCAATACTCCTTGCTGACATTTCTTTCCGTAGCGAGGCATGTAGGTAGACAATGATTGCTGGCTCCATCGGATTAGCCGCTTAGACTATTCCCCTATCAATCAACGCACACAAACAATATCCACAAGATCATGGAGGCGGAGGAAGAGTCTGCACGGACTACCACTATATTAGACAAGAAGAGAGACGAAGTCTAGCTAGCTAGGAAAGCGGTTGATTTCTTATTCAGTTCGATCACCCGGTAAAAGGTGCAATTTTAATATGGTAGCGCAGTCTGCTAATTTATAGCAAATGTAATCTCTAGCACTTAATCTTGAATACAATACTTGGTCGATTCACGCTGAGCACGCGGGCTATCATTGAATACGTTCAGATGGAAGATTTCCTTTTGGGGTCTTTCCATACCATTCTGCTCTGTGTCTTTGTCTAGTCCATCTCTCACACTGTCCTAGCCTTGTCGACGAGCCATATTCATTGTGTTGAGGTGTCGGGTCTACCATCTTTCATTACTGTTTTTAACTTTATACTCGAATTCTCTTCCATCGACGAGCTGTTCCACGTTAAACTCCAGCGTTATCGAAGTTCTGTTGCATACTAGATTACTTACCTATCACGGCTAGGTTAAGATTCTTCTTCTTAGTCTTGGTTCCACTTTGAGATTGCTTTGATGCGCTGATTAGACTTAGAGAACATGCCAGTTAGATCGGTTGCCATTTTGGGAAGGCTTTCAAATATGGTGATAGATAACTTGGTGCAAACTAACTCAGACAGCGATTATTGGTTCATTTTAAAAGTCACAGGAACTGCAAAATGCAAGGATATCGGTAGATTCTGTCTAAATAGCGAGCTGGATTTGATTTATTAGTGATTGGTGAAGTTGCCAGAGGGCCGAGAGCAAAAGGGAAGCCCAAGGTTTCCTACGATCAAGCTTGAGAATACTGCCTTTCGGATAGCGACCATCCTTAGATATGCCTTTTATCCTTCTTCATTAATTCCCCATCATTTCTTCTACACCTTATAGTATATCTAGGGGTGGGCTTTATGTCTCAACAGAGAATTGATCATTGATCAATCATCATGGCCTACGAACAACCCGCCACCATGTTAGAGCTGGGAAACAATGGAAGTCGTACGTCTTCTCCAGCAACGCAAATCGAAGAGAACACCCTACTGGACTCCAAAGACCCAGACCACCCTCGCAACTGGTCAACTGTGGCCAAGGTGTCATTCTGCGCTATTGTGTGTGCAGCCGTGTTTGGAGTTTCCTTCTCATCTAGTATTCTCGGTCCAGCTGCTTCCATCATCGCACACCAATATCATGTGTCCGATATTATCATGCAACTAGGCGTCTCACTCTTTGTTGCCGGATTTGCAGCCGGCCCCCTTGTATGGGGTCCTTTTGCGGAAGCCTTTGGCAATAGAACAACGCTCATCATCGGAGTCATACTCTGTGGAGTTTGGCAGATTCCATTGGGCGTGGCAAACAACGTCCCAACAATTCTTGTCTCTCGATTTCTCGCCGGCTCTTTCGGAAGTTCCATCACTACAGTTAGCTCTGGGATCTTGACGGACCTTTACGGCCCCATTCCCCGAGGGACAACACTGGCCTTCGCGGCAGTTTCTATCAACCTCGGAAGTTCTTTCGCTCCGATCGTAGCCAGCTATTTAACGATCGAGCATAGCTGGAGATGGCTTGCCTGGATTCCCCTGATATATTTTGGATGCCTAGCTATGATTGTTCTGCTATTCTTACGCGAATCGGATCCTTCTCGAATCTTGGCCGCTCGACAAAAATGGAGCAGGCAGGATGGGAGTAGCGATGATGAAGAGCACTCAACCACCAACCCGAGATCCCCAGTCCGCCAATCGCACGAGATAGTCGTCAAATACCTTAAGAAGCCTGTACTGCTTTTCTTCCAAGAGCCCATCCTCATAATTCTTACCATATACATGGCATTTGTGTACGGGCTGCTCTACCTCTCCTACCAGCTATTCCCAATTGCGTTCCGAACTCGTGGTTGGTCAACTCCGGCAGCCACTCTACCCTTCATATCCGTGGCTGTTGGTTTATTCAGCTCCGTTGCTGTCATCGCCATCTTTATGAATACTTGGTACAAGCGAAAATGGTTAGAGAGGGCCCAAATCTCCACACCCGAAGACTGCCTGCCACCGATGATTCTCGGTTCCATGGTTTTGCCCCCGGCAATATTCTGGTTCGGCTGGACGCTTGATTCCCATCCTATTTCACAACTTCTCGCGGCCGGGTTCATAGGCCTGGGCCTTCAGCTGGTGTTTACTGTGGGTGTGGTATATATTGTCAATGTCTACCGGGCCCATGTGGTGTCCGCGTTTGCCATCCACATCACCGTTCGAAGCTTGGTAGCATCGACGTTTCCGATATGGACTCAATCTATGTATCTTGGGCTCGGGTTTAGGAATATGACAAATGTTCTGGGCGCATTCGCAGCCCTGATGCTGCCATTTCCATTGCTATTCTTCTTTTACGGCCCTCGTATCCGGAGTTGGAGTAGGTATTCGGAAAGTTAATGACCGGGAATACGGATTAGAATACGACGAGCGAGTGTCTTTCAAGATACCCTTAAAAGTCCATTGAAGGGAAAAGATGACGAGAGATCAGCGTTGAAATAGCTTTTGCCTCACGCTTTGTTCTCCGTGGATGACTGTGGCAAACTCGTCTGGAAGGTATCAATAGCTTATGGATATCTAAATCTATATAGATGTACGTATGACAATGTTCGTTGTATTTAAATTTATCCACCACGGGGCTTGCACAGTATATTTGAACTAGGCGTCAGGAGTTTGCACATGCGGTGTGGAAAACATTGAGCGTGTCTACTGTAACTCTTGAGAGTTGACTGGTTTTCATTCTCTCCACTTGGATCATCTCTTAGAGCCGACCCACACTCGCTTCGTGGACTTCCTCTTCCCCTCGGGCATGGAGGAATATCCATTTCCTCGTTTTTTTGATATGCAAACAGCAGCACTTAAAAGTCTCCTCTTCGGCACCGCTCCAATGTAGATTCCAACACCAAGCCTCCCTGGCACATACGACCATACCCAGAAGAGAACTCGGGATCCCGTGTACCTCTTGTCCGACTGCCCATTGCCTCTATTTTCAGACTCACAGGCATCTTCTTTTGCCTGCCAATGACTCCTTTAATGGACGCAATGCACCAAGCACCTATAAATCTGCCTGTAAATAAGGGCAACCCTACGTATACTAAATTTAGGAAGTAAAACATGTCTCCTCCTAAATGCTTGTAATATCTAATGATACTAATTCATCTGCTAGCCGCGCAGCTATAAGTCCTTAATACTTTATAAAATAAGGAAAATGCAGGGCAGTTTTAGAATGTTTGCTCATTTCTCTAATACCCCGACCCCAGACCATACGTCTCCCCAACATCCCGCAGAAGCTGTAACAGTTCCCCCTTGCAGCTTTCAGCATGTAGTTGAACATCCTCGTCCTCACTCTGGGACAATTCATTAATCCGCCGTAGCCAAAACTCCAAACGCTGACGGCTATAGCCAAGCGAGGGTATATTTCCAGCCTTAATCGCCAGTTCGCCAAGACTAGACAAGTTCGAATGATCACTGAGATTGGCGGTAGCGGTTGATGCATGGCCGCTGGCCAAGAGGGCAAGGCTGAATTTTGATTGCTCGATCAAACGCGTGAGAGCGCACATTAGATCCACCAATGGTATTTCTTTACTTTCGGGATCTACAACAAGAGATTGAGGGACCTCTAATGTTTCCCGGAATAGCGAGAGTATACAGAGGGCAGGGCCATCATAGATGCCGACAGAAGCTAGTCGCCCAAGGAGTGCTGCGAGATTCTCTTGCTGATTAGGAGTATAAGCGCCCTTTTGAAAGAAGTGGCTCATAAATTCTTTAATAAGATCTTGGCCAAAGAGGGGTAAATCAGATAAGAATGTGCGGCCGTCAGAGCACACATTACCGCCAGTACAGCCAGCTGGAAGCGGTATCGGTCCGAGATTCCTAACGGCAATAAGATGGCATACAAGGCTATCCTGCATATAAGAAGAAGCACTAATATGCTTGCCTGCTAGAATAGTTTGATACCATAGATTGTGGAGATAATCCTCAAGAGTTCCTAGAGCTGAATTTGGAATCGCAGTGAAGTGCTCGACTATACGTGCGGAAATTGATGAAACCTCGCGTACAAGATATTCCGGATGGCCTTGTTCAATTATCTTATGTGCATCGGCTCTCATCTGTGCAGAGAATGACATTGGTGGGGGAGGATCCATAATGAAATAAATAGGGGAGGAGATGAGTCTAATGGGGTTGCGTAAATTCAATGTGAAGGATGTGAGGGTAGGTGAAAGGTAGGCAGTTGATGAGGTGCATCGCTGGTCACGTTTGACCTTTTTATAGATATTATTGTTTATAATAGGTGGGGTTCGGTGGATCAAGGACACAAAAAAGTGCTACCTTACATGCACCCGCGTGACCAGACTGCGCTTTCTGGCTTATTATTCCTCCTGCTGCCTAGGTGTCCACATATGCAACCATCCTACGTAGGCGCTTCGATGTAAGCGACCACCTAATATGTGTGCGCTTACCAACAAGCCCCTATGTAAGCCACTTTTAGAGGATTTACCTAATCCATCAGGCTCCGGACGAAACTGAGAGGAATAGATAGATGGACGTATTACGCATTGGCGCCAGCTCCACGGACAAAATGCACGAGATCTCAGATACTTGACCAGAATCTGGTTAGTTTGTATAAGCTATAGAACCAAAGAAGAAGGCTGTAGAGAGTGTTATACCTAGATCAGAAGGTCCAATGCTCTTCTTTCAAATATATCTTATGTATCCCAGGTCTTAATTTTACGGATAAACATTTCATAGCCTACGGACTAGTTATACTTGGCGAAGCGGTGCCAGAAGATCATTGATCCAATGTACTTCCAAAATAGCCCAAATAGAAGGTAATATCTGCAATCTTTTTCCTTCCGAGAGAAGACATAAACCATCGCCCAGTTCTAACCGGTATATCT